GCTGGTGGTAATCACCAAGCAAACATGTATTTAGGCAGGTGCTGTTTTGGATGATTGCTGGGTCTGAGCGCGCGGAACATCCAACACGGGAAGGCAAAGCCAATTGCACGAACCCTTGTTCCAACAATGTTTGCCCTTGCATGAAGATATCTGCTCAAAGCTTGCCAGTCAACGCGGAGACTGTGGCCGTTGCCGATGTGCCGTCTTGGGCGTTATGGATAGCCCCGGCAAGATCCTAGCGTGGCCAGGTGGCTTGCAGAACACAGGAACTTTGTGTGGATGTGGGCTTTGAAGTGCGATGATGAATTTGGTAAGATCATCGTGATGTGTGCAACTGCCTGAAAACCAGAACACAAAGTTCATTCATGTGGTTAATATTAGGCGGTTACTTCTTGGGACATTAGGTCATCGAGTAGATTGCTCAACAATATAATGACTGCATGTTTGACATACCTTCTATATCATCTTTTGCGTTCTCTTGCTGCAACAAGTATTGCTGCAAGCTGGCTTGCTTCCCTATTGAAATGTGAAAGACACGCTGCCAGTTAATGCATCATCTCTGTGTCCCCAAAATTAGCATAGACTTGAAGTTCCGAACTTCTGGTTACTAAAGGCGAACAATAATGATATTAAAAGCGAAAGTGGCTTCGGGGTATTGCCATCCAAGGTGCAGATTGGGACAGCCTAAGTGATGGTGAGGGAGAGCGGCTTCACCTGGGCTGGAGCGGCAAAGCCATTCGCGACAGGGGTTTATTCGCATGAGTGGCATCTAGATTTCATTTGCGTCGGTTTTCATGGCTTCTGGACATATTAATGGCTCAATTTGCGGGCTTTGTGGCACGAAAATCCTTTATTCTTGTGTGTCCTCTTTCTCCTTGAACGAACCTGAGACCCTTCTTCATCATCATCTCCTTCTCGGACTGCACCTCGTTCCCGCGTCTTAGAATCCCGCGTCTTGGGCTGCTTTCTAAATCTGACACTTCGCCACAGACCTCGCACACCAAATTTTCAACTGCCCTTGCCCTCACCTCTAGATCATCATCCTCGGCCTCTTCGCTAGAACATGATTCTCCCTCTCCTCTGACCCTACCATGATGATCTTGTTGCCGAAATAAGATGAAGCAGACCATTCTTCTCATATAACAAGTACTAATAACTACAATCCCCAGGCGAGGGTGCTGAGAATACATTGAGCACTCTATCAAGGCCCGCGCCCGAGTGTCTACTACATTCAGGATTCGCCTGCTTACTGCCTCCGTGGTTTCGTGTCGTGCTACCGCTTCATGAGTCGTTTCTTGTAGGCCGGTTCCTGTCCCCTATCGTCATCACGGCCGGACTTCTTATGCGGCTTCCCTCTGCCCCTCGTCTGAGAAACCGACGTGGACCTGGGCCGCTTTCCTGCCGCTCTGCTTTCCTGTCGTTCCTGCTGCTGCCCCTGCTTCTCTTGCTGCTCCTTCACCTTTTGCGGCATGGACGTATCGATCCCGCCCGACTCCTTGAGTCGATCATTGTTCTCCTTTTGCAGATCCTGGATTTGATCGTTCACCGCCTCCGGGTCGCACGGCACAAGCTTCCCGTCCTCGGTCAAGAAGATGCCATTCTCAAAGTCGGTACTCTCGGTCTTGACCCGGTCTAGGTTGATTAGACAACACCTCGAAGACGTGTCGTATTCGAGGGGAAAAGGGCCGTAGGTCGTCTTATTCAATACGGCTTTTCCCTTCCACGACAGTTTGTTCTTTCGAATTGTCAGCCCCAGCTTGCCGTCACCGAAGTCATGTAGCTGTAAGCAGAATTCCCAGTGGCCTTTGGTAGGCGGCGCTAATTCGAGAATGTCGTAGCAACACGTTGCTGGGACGTGGTCCCATTTGGCAGAGGCTTGAAGCTGAGGGTCACAGACGATCTTGAGCCTCGTCGTCCCGCTATAGCGCTTTCTAAAGTAATGGGGACCATCCTGCCAGATCGAGCATTTGTCAGTGGGAAAAGCAAAATGGTTGATCGGCATCTAGCAACGCACGTCCATAGACCAGGTTGAGAACGCAAAGACCAAAGTGAACACCTGGAGTTCAGGGTAAATCTCACAGAATCAAGAGCCAGAAAGGCTGTATTATCCCAGCTTATGAAGCTGCCATTAGCGCCCTTCAACGGGCGACCTGTTTGGAAACCGAAAGCAGCGCCCCTGTCAATGAATTCCTTCGCCATAATATTATCGACCGCCGCAAGAGCAGCGCCTTTGCTGATGTTGAAAGAGCTGTCAAGACGCAGGACATATTAGCAGCTTACTCATCTCCAGACCTTTCGGAATTTCGAGTTCCCAATCTACATACTCTTTCTCACCCACGGCCTCGTAAAAGAGGAACGGCTCGTCAATCTTGAGTTGAGCACAAACTTGCTGAAGATTCGCCTGCACTAGAACGTTCTTGCCACTGCCGCCAGACAGAACTATCTTGACGTTCGAGCCCAGGGCGACAGCAGCGTCAATCTTCTTCCTGGCGAGTCTTAGAGGGGTTTCTAGCCCGTCGAGGAAGCATTGCCTGGCATCGGTCGCGCGTAAGTGTACTGATATACTACCGTGGTTGTCTGGATCTTCTGCGTGCAAGACCATGCTCGCGAATAGGCCTGTCTGGAGCCTCTTGATCTTCAAATGAAACATTTCCAAAAGATCTGCTCGTTGGCTTGGGAGTAGAGTCGATTTGAGGGACTTTTCGGCGTAATTTGTTGCAAAATCATCAACTCTTTTCTCCCATAGTTGTGTACCGCCATGAGCGGCTGATAGATCGTTTATCAGACGTGGCTCTGTGGGTGAATATATCGAGAACGTGACCGGACTTACTGAAGGGTTCCCCAACTTGAAAATAATTCAACTCATCGCCACTCCGTCGTACTGCGCTGAATATGCAGCCGTTCTGCGCTACCGCGGTCAATATCTCTCTAGGCCAATATCGTAAACTCGCGAACATCGCTACAGCTGACTCACCATCGTGTGACCTCCAAAATCAAGAAACACCAGATGACAAGGCTCGTCCACTTTAGTGAGGATCTGCTTCATGTGACGCGGGCTCGAGAAGAGAAAGTGAGCCGACGCCAGACTCTCCACATGAAGCTTGATGCGACCGTGTGCTTTTGTAAACGTATTAGACTCCATCATGACGGCGGCAATCAGGTTCTCGTAGTTGGACAGCTCCTGGGCGGTCCAGTGCGCTGGATGCGACAGGCCAATCTCGTCAATATGAAGCGCGCGATCGGTGCAGAAAGTTGTCACCTCCTGGAATACAGTCCTCACGATGGCTTCAAGGGCCCTGCGTATCCGCTTCTCCATGCCTCTGAACTTTGCCAAGAGGCCATCGAGGAGTGGGTTGCCGGTCTCGCGGTCTTCGCACAGGAACCATTTTGAGGGAATGGGCGTGCAGCTCTGGTTGTACACCTCGCCCGTGTACACTATGCCGCCTCGATCGTCGACGTAGAGAGTTGAGTTGAAAGCGCCGGTCTGATAGCGGATGTCATGTCCAGGAACCGCGCCGTGGTTCCAAATTGGGTGCAATTCCTTGGTCTTGCGGATGCAAATGGTTGCACGTATGGCGGTGCTGCCCCAGTCTATGCCCAGGATGCTGTACGTCGCGAAGACAACGGCCGGTCAGTTTACGAGATGTAGAATACGGTTCAATGATTGAATGAAAGGTGTTGATATGGAGATGAGGAAGGTTATGAAGGACTTACGCTGCCTCTGACCTAGCGCGAGCATTGGACATGGGAAGCGGGATGTGACCACTCGAGCTGTCACAATGGCTGTTTTGAGATGACCTTTTTGGCCTGAATGAGGCTTACATAGGTTGGCCTTGTAGGCAGTATTTACACTTAAGACGCGTGCGACACGAGTTGTAAGATTTCTGCGCGCAGGTTAAAAAGCGGCGTTAAACCTGGGAGTGAAGCTCTATGAGCACGTCCGTTGCCGCACTGAAAATGATGAATGAGGTGAGAATACGGATAGATGAGGGTGGGTCGGCCTATGTTCTGAAGCACGTCCCCTTTCGCGGGAATCGTTGTTGTTGTCAGCGACTTGTAAGGTTACTGGCTGGGACGTGGGATAAGGTAGGATCAAGTACATCAGAACCTTGAGGCGGGTAAGGATATGAGAAACAGCGGTAAGGACAGGAACTTGTACAAAGGCAGAATTACTCCACTGGGCGAAGTGAGGAACGCTGGTATGGCGAGTGGAAGATTTGCTAAGGGACAAACGCAGCAGCAGTGTATCTGAAGTGCAGGCTTTCTGACCAACCTGCACACTGGTCAAAGACGCGACTTTTCGCGACGCGGCTAGCTACCTACAGTGAATAGGCCAGGGGCCCCATTTGTTTTACACAAGGTAGGGGTATCGGCCAACATTACATGCTCTGTTCCACATGTATCCGTACCGATGGATTCCAAAAAGGAAGTCGGGCAGCGTTTGACTTTACACTGAGTGCACCTGGGCTTTTGTGACTAAGTAGCTGACCCCGCCAGTATTCTTAAGGGTTGAAGTGAATGGGATGCCACCTCTTTCGCAAGTTACTTCAAGAGCGTCGCATCTCTAATCGTATTTAATAGAGGTCTTCAAGTCATCTTTTTTTTTCTGTCGAGAATGACGTTTCTCAAGTTCACCCTACAACTTTACCTTCCTTTTCCTTGTTCATGCCATTACAAGCTCAGTAAAAACTCCACAAAAGTCCGTCGCCTGCCTTTCAAAATTCACGATAGCGTGACATGCACAATAACGTGGCCAATCACTTGGTAACGGCAGACTTCAGGACTTGGGCAACAGCCCGATTCCCAGCCCTTCCCAGAACTTGGGGGCCAACGGACGATTTCTACCTTATCCCGGCATCAACTCAATCTTTAACTTCCTTCAATCGCTTCGGAGATGACACCCAAAGCCGAAATGCTACTACCCTCATGGGAATGCTACCCTCGTCAGTCAATGAAAGATACCTCGCAAGAAGACACGCAGTGTAAGTATGCGGGCGCGCTTACCTGGCTTCCATAAAACCCAGTGATGGCCTCTCCAGGACCTGTGGTGACTAGAAACGAAGTATTGCTTGGTAGGTTATCTTGAATGGAGAAGAAGCAGCTCCTTCCTCGATTCGTGGACACCTCAACGTGATTACTTCAGCGCACATCTCTTGCGGGGGAGTTTGGACAACGGACAGGTGAACATGGGCAACTCACCTTGAATGCAGCTATGAATCCTTCTTCCACCATCCATATGTAAGCATCTTCAGGGTCAACGTTTTCCTGGAGAATTTCGACCGCATTGATGAGTTCGCCTCCTGCTCCATCGATTTCAAAAATGATTTCCTTTGTCAAATCTCCAGGCATTTGGCAACCGAACGTTCTATCGAGTTCTGGAACATTGTATGTGAAGTCCATGCGGTATATGCCGGCGCGGCCCAGGACGACTCTGATATTATTGAGTGTTCGAAGGTGGGCACCACCTGGGCCGCCGAAGGAGGTCCAAAATAGTGGTTTGAATCCGTCCAAGTAATGTTCCCTGGGGGCGAAAGAAGTTTCATTCAAGCAGAGGTCTGGTCCCGGGACCTCAGGGTACCACATCCCCATATTTCTCAATCTGTTGTCATCTTGTGCTAGTCTTGCGATAGATGAAGAATGAGGAAAGATAGCCAAGCTCACAATTTTGCAACCCTGTGAAGTCAGCATACTTGCATGGGACAAAGCTCACAAGGTCCACTTGACTCACATCAAATCCAATATCAAGGTAGTTGATGCGCTCGCCTACATTGAAGCGCAGTGTCTTGAGCGACATCTCCGGACTGCCGAGCCAGTGGGAGGTGTCGAAATTCTGATTGATGCATTGCAAAGCTTGAATCCCCCTTTCTCCCACAGCTAGCTTGAAGCCGCTTATGTCTGAAATCTCCACGGACTGCTCAGTAGTAGTTCTGTAGCCTATTTGACGAACATCGCCTGCGGCCGTGGTAAACTTCAGTCCAGCGATGTATAGAATCTCTCCTACGGGAATAGACCAGATAGAAACCATCGATAGGTCTTCAGGGATGGCCAGGCGGTACGTTTCGCGGAGAAGGCAACCCTTATCCAAGTGGGAGTGGTGTGGCCCGCTCGGTCTCTCCCACAAGTCTCCCGACACTTTTAAACGCTGGGTCGAGCCTTGCTGCTGGGAAGGTTCTGAACCACTGTCGATCCATTGGAAGTCCAGAGCTGCCACAACTTTCTGGGCCAGGTTCCAAATACGAACTCTATTCTGGAGGCCGGGACCTATGTGCGCATTGTTGGTTCGACGATACAGCCATCTCCAGTCCCGAGGCTGAGCACCGTCCTGGGATTCAAAAAGCCATGAGCGGTCTGACTTATGTTTGAATCTCGAGGCCCAGAACTGTTGACTATTGAAAATCGTCCAGAACGAACGTGAGGACAACCGTAGGTTCAATACATCCAAAGTCGGTAGGCAAATAGCGATCGCTGACCGTAGCTCTTCTGGGAGCGCATAGAAGCTGTCCCGTTCTGGTTCTGGGGCTGTAGCATTGGAAATAGGCCCTTCTGGACTTGGCGGCTCTTCCTGTGCCTCAGTGAGCAAGTGGTGTGCCTCTTCAGCTTCGTACGGATTGGCGCTGAGAATGGGGTCGGGGTCCATGTAGTCCCGGTCGGAAAATCTGTCCTCGAACGGCAAGTGGTGTTCATTATCGACGATACTGGCTCCCCCGTAGTCGTGGCCCCAGCTGATACCTACTGACAATAGCGGAAATGGGAGTGATTCGCAGACCTCGAACAGTCTCAATAAGGGAACTGGACTCGGATGGAAGGCTTTCTCTAAGAGGTCCCAGCAGGCTTCATGGAAAACAAAGCCGTGTCTTCCGTTGACTGGCGGGAAGCCCATAGCACCAAATTGGTCTTCATCTGTACTGTCGTAGGTTGGGTCATCCCAACGACGCTTGAGGTCGACTGGGGCGATGAATGCGCCCCTTGCCGGATCATCGTATAAGCCAACACCGGTGAGAATGACGCCATTTGGACTTGAAGTGACTTTGGATCAAGTTAGGATGCTTACTACTACCAAGTACAAACTCAGAGCGCTTACCTCCGCGGAACTGATTCAGCCAAGAAACGCTGCCTGGTGCATCGACGACGATCCATCCACAGAGAGTGCACGAGCATATACGGGGACTCATGCTCGTTGTGACGTGGGAAAGGAACTTGGCAAGAATACACGGCAAGTTAGTTTGGAACATTGAGCGGTTGCCTGGGAAGGTTCCATTTTCGCTGCAGGCTCGATCAGGAAAATGTTGGGCCCGTGCCGTCGCCTCGAAACCTGGACCTGAACATGGACGGTACCTTGCTACTTAGGCTACGATCGTCTACCATTCCATAGAATTGTCTTGTTCACAATACGCTAGTCTTCGTAAACTTGAAGATGCTTCTAGTTACTATTTTATCTAAAGATATACTGATACTTGATTCCATCCCACGGGCATGTTATCTGTGACTGTCGGTGTCTCTATCGATGTTTCTTACCCCGAAGTCCTTTCCATCAATTTGGCGCATGATTCTATGCTTCCGTGTTATCGCTTGCATTCACTCCAACAGCAGGAATTTCAGTGACCATCGCAAAGTATGAGTAGATTTCCTCGGAGGATGGCTCGTTGCCGTACTGCATGTACATGTTAGCTAAATCCAGATCTCAACGTGAGGTGGGCGATAGGGAAACCTACTGCCATATATGACACCTGCATATTCGACTCGCCATTGTTCTTGTTCAGCCAAATGATCTTGCTAGCGTCGAATTTAACCTTATCGGTTCCCATGGCCTCGTTGATGATGCGTTTCATGTCATCTCGGTACTCAACCTGCTCGTCCGTGGAGTATGCTTGGTTGATGTATCCTACGGTCCTGGTGTAGTACTTCCTACCGTCGTCATCTTCCGAGTCTGATCCGGCCCCATTATTGTTCTTCGCCAATCTCATCTTCCTCTGCGTTGGCTCGGCATCTGTATCTTCATCAGAGAATTCCCCATTGTAAAGCTTGCGCCTTCGAAAGCCTTTCGGGTTTTCGAGAATAGCACACAAGTGTACTTCCAAGCCTAGGCTCTTGAAGGTGTTGTAGATCACCATGTCAAGACCCTTAAGGCAGAACGGAAGGCCGTGCTCCTTCTCGGTGTGAGGATAAGCGTGTGTGCTGTAGACTCCCAGAAGTCTATCCTTGGACTGGAATTTCTTGGAGCCGAGCAAGTCTACAACCTGCTTGTAGAGTGGCAGCGAAGTAGGGCTGAAAGCAGATATTTGACCTCCGAGGTCTCCGTTTCCTGCTGTCGCATACAAGTTGTATGTCAGCGTAACCCTGTGACCGGACTTGACCTCGAACACTTCGTGTTCGCAGTCGCTGTAGAAGGCCGCCCACTGAATGACAGACTTGGTGGAGCTCTTGGCCCAGTCGAAGGAATGAGTCTGTCCAAAATGTCTCACGGCCAGCTCGCCACCCTCATGCTTCATCGGAAGACAGACAACCAAGGAGCCAATTTGGTAGGGCGAACGAGGAGTGTCGACGTGCGCCTTGAACTTGCCCGAAGGACCGGAGTAGATCTGTAAAAGGTCATGTCAGAGACATCGAGGTTGTACACCATCATACATCAACCCACTTACATTCATGTTGTACAGCTCCGCACGGATTGCCCGCTTGTCTTCGTCCATGTCATAACTGGGGAGAAGAACCTGGCAAACAGCGTCGATGATGCCTGTTTCATACGGGCAGAAGGTGGTGCAGAAATCACCTGCACCGAGCTTCTGAGCCTTGCGGTAGGTTTCATCGAATTCGTGCCGCCCGTCAAGACCGAATGTAGCCTTTTCAGAGACTTTGAGGAGGTGGTCGAACGCGACGGCGTCGTCATCTGAAGCGACTGGGAAAGAGACTCGCTGGGGACCAGGACGCTCCGCTGGATTGTCCCAACGAAGAATGACCGAAGAAGACGCAACCTGAGCTGTAGGGCTAGATTGGCCTTGCGACTGCTCGATAGGAACCTCGCCGCCGATAGCAAACGTACTACCGGACAAATGTTCGTTTGAAATGGATTCAGAGACTTGCTTTGCAAGCTCTCGGAGTGTGGGTACAGAAGCCATTCTGCTCTTTTGGTCTGTAGGGGCGGTGAACTGTTGATCGTAACGTTAGTTGAGACGAAGGTGGAAGTCAATCGATGGATGTTGAGATGATGCAGAGTGAAGATGTTGTAGAGGATTACAGGGAGAAAGATGGATTATATACCTTCCAACAATATTTCTCCGATGGACAAGGAATTCAGTGAATGCCTAAGTATGTTGGTACCGTACAGATCACAAAGTAAGTTCACTTAGATACCACAAGGTGGGTCAAGCAGGCAGCTGAAACTCAATAGAGTATTCGTCGATTTCAAAAGGTGTTGACCGTTGCAGGGCTGTATTGAGCTTGAAGGCAGGCATCAAAGACAAGTCTGCTCGGTTGCCTAATTCCTCCAGGGCGTTTGTAATATACTAGTAGGTACTTAGAGACGTGAAAATGCCTCAACAAGTCTTCCGATCCCAAATGCTGCGACGATGACTGACTCGGGACATTTTGAGATGACCAAACGGTACATCACCACAGGGCCTGAGCTGTCTATGTGCCATCATGTGGAACGGCCAATGATTGAGTACAGCTACGGTTGAGCTTGAATCTGCGAACCGTGTGGAGAGTAAGTTATCGGCATCTCAGACGATACACAATGTGCTCTTCGTCTAGCCGTCCTTTCCCGAGAACCCTTGCAATTGATAGGAGACCTACACGTCTTTTGGCAAGCCAAGGTGGCTGTTGAACGGGTGGATTCATTCCGTGCTTGGGCACCGTCTCCTCTCATTCAACGATATAAGCATCTTCCCAGGCGTAAAGTGGTACTCGTCTAGTGACAAAGTAGATTGGATACTCATCTTACTCGTACGTATTCCAGTTTGCTTCTTGAGCTATATCCGCTTAATAACGCCGTACCTGCACACGCCAGCCTCAACTTTGTAGGCTATTGGGGAATTCACCAAATATTACATAGCCTCCTTAGTGATTCATAGTACACATCTCTTCCTCAGCTGAAGCTGCGACGTTTTGCGCACTCTAAATGCTCAGAGGCCCTTTTCAACCTCTGCAAAGGCCTCTGCGAAACCAGGCTCCTTCTTCGTCTCTGCCCATATCCTCTCCTTGAGGCCATTCCCCTCAGATGTGTACATCACAGCTGGCCATCTGAATTCATGTTAGCTCGATGATCGCTCGATCCTCAGCTCGGGAGATTCTTATAGTTTGACTTACGGCTTGATAAGTCCGTCCGAGGTGAAGCTTCCGTGACTCTCTCTGCCCTTTACTATTGCCGCATCAAGATAGCTCCTAGCGCCAACCTCCACGCTGCGGCCGATAGTTTTCTTCATCAGGCCCATGAACCATGACTCGCTTGCTGGCTTAACGATGTTGGTACCGCTGGTAAGGCCCGAATTGGCGAGATTGACAATGATCTGGTTCGGGTTGACGTAGGTCGCAAGCTTTGCTACGAAAAGCTGGCCCAGGAATTTGGACTGCTGATAATTCTTCCCAGATTCCCACAGGGTTTCTTTGTCGGCCGGCTTGAACATTGAACCCGTCACCATGTCCTCTTCTGGCGTATGCCAATACGTAAAATCCGAGCTGACGATAACTAGCCTCGCCTGGTCTCCCGCCGGCTTCTTCTGCTTCATGACCGGGAGTAGAAGTAGGGCTAGTAATGTGGTAGAGAGAAAGTTGACTTGGAGCATCAGTTCGTGGCCTTCCCGGGAGACTATAAAGTTTTGGGCGACCACCGCAGCGTTGAGGATGACGATGTCGATCCGCGTCAGCTCCTTCTTGCACCTTGCAACAAAGTTTCTAACACTCTCATATGACTCCATTTCCAGGTGCCATACTTGGATCTGCGCCATGGGGAATTCCCGTCGTAGGCCTTCGGCGAGGGCCTCCCCCTTTGATGTGTTCCGGACGCCCATAATGAGGCGACCGAGTGAACGCTCAAGGAACTGACGGCTTGCTTCGAGCCCGAGGCCGCTACTGGCACCCGTCATGATGAGAGTGCAATCAGACAAGTCGAATTCTTCCGGGATCTCGGCTGGTGTGATGACGGCCTGGCGGTACAGGAAGGATAGCGGGTTGGCTTCCCAGCCCGCCTGGCTAGCCAACTCATTGGACATTTCGGGCGATTAGTAGGCAGAAAGTCTAGGGCTTGGTGAAGATTGTAGCAATAGCTGCGTCGTCTGTTTCTGGAAACAAGCTTGAAAGAGCTCGAGAGGCGACGTCGACGTTTGATATATCCCGCCGGCCGATCCGACAAATATGGAGCCAAGAAACACCAAACAAGTTGAGAGGGCCCCTGGTTCCAGCTCCTGCTCGCATGTGGTCGGAGAAGGGGTTATCTGGTGTGGTATTTGATGTCATGCGGTCTGCTCTTGTGTCGCAGAACCTTTGACTTTTGACCGGGTTCCCCCACGGGGGGCGCGGTGTGCATCGAGGACCGAGCGGGCGGACGTTGAACGGTCTTGAGACGCGCCAATGTCCCTCCGGGGGACCGGACGCTTATTCGCGCTTGGATTGGGCGCTTAAGGGGTGTCGAGGTCTATCATGCGTGCGACGTCAAGCAACCCTCCAGCTTTGTGTCATTCTGGTACAGGTGCTGGACGGGGCCTGTCAAGGTCAGTGATGGACGTTTTGCATGAGGGGCTGTTTCGTCGCACGATCTACCGCAAGGTCGACTCAGCGCAGGGGTCAGGGATATCGGGATGTTAGGGGTCCACGACGCTCGGTGTGCGAGGTCTAAGAAAAGAAGCAGTTGCTTAGTCACCGACTGCAACGCTATTGACTTGAGTGTCGAAGCAGTACGGTGACACTGAGGCATCGTCTGAATACCTGGGCTGTAGGTTGCTGCTCCATCTGATGGATGAGATGTATCTAAGCAAGGCTTTTGTGTGAATGTTTCAACAGCCGCTAAGCTTTCAGCCAGTGTATCGGTGGCATGATGGGAAATGCAATTCGGTGGGGACAATTCACACCGAGACATACCGAACTGGCCGAGTGCACACGGTTCGGTGTACAAGGCACTTCGCTGAGAGGGTAGGATGACTCAGCATGCCGATAGTGGACCGGAGGGACTTCGGGTGAGGCCGGCCATGGCCTGTGCTCGAAGACTGGTCACCATAGTTAGGTACGTAGACAAATCTGCCCCTCCCCCTCCAGCTTGATTCGCCCTCGGATGGTGGGGTTAAAGGAAAGATGGGCGGGACCTGGAACCAGACGAGTGGGAGAAGAATGCAACCTTGGCCTTTCTGGACGCCGTTTCGTCCTTTGCCAAACGTCGAGTCTCGTCACCGCCAATCCGCTGTCACTTCTTCTCGAACCACTCTCATCCAAGCACCTACACAATCAACGACCACCCCTCCCTCTGCCTCTCCGGCCCCAAACCACCTGCAGGATTCGAAAGGCGAAGAACCTTTGTTCCCTCTCGTCCTATCTAACTTTCTCTTTGTCTCCAACCTTTCCCGCTCACACCCGGACCCCAGTCTCCACCAAAGGGACCACCACCTCCTCGTTCCTCCTCTGCCGCCGTTCTCTTAGCACTCCCGATCCCGAACATCCGCCAGCCGCAAAACATGTCCGGTCTCGACGCCCCTGAAATTGCCGCGGCCTACGATGCCGTTCGCTCCGACAAGGACGAGACGAGCTGGCTCCTCATCTCCTACGCCAGCGCCGTCGGCAACAAGATGACCCTCACAAAGACGGGCACTGGCGGCCTGTCCGAGCTGGCCTCGGAGCTGGACGACTCACAGGTCCAGTACGCCTACGTACGCGTCGAGTACGCCAACGACGTCGAGAGCAAGCGCGTCAAGTTTGCCTTTGTCATTTGGATCGGCCAGAACACAAAGATTATGCGCAAGGCCCGCGTCAGCATCGAGAGCAGCGAGGTCAAGAGGGTGCTGCCGCACCACAGCATAACGGTCAACGCCGATCACAAGGGCGACTTGGACGAGGACGATATTGTCAAGCGGTTGCGCAAGGCTGGCGGCGCTGACTACAACGGTGGACGCGGCTAGATGCCAGGCTGGCTCGCTTAACCAACGAGGATTGGCCTTTTTTCGAGACCAAAGGGGGGGAACAAAAATCTGCACGCATATATATCTCAAGGGGGAGTTCAGAGAGTGGCTGTGGCCGGTGGGATTTGAGCTACGAGTACAACGGTATCTGGCCAGGCGGAGGCGCTTCAGGGAGCGGCATGCATACTCTTTTTAAATACAGCATACACCTTGGATAAATATTTTGGAACCCAACATGGGGACCGGGCGCAAGCCGAGAGAATCAAGGGACTTTTATTTCTTGTCAAGCAAGCCATCTGCTAGTCCCTCGCCCAGGTGCCAGCGATACGCTAGTGCCTGAGCATGAAAATACGGCTCAGGAATTGGGACGTCTCCTCCGCCCCTCGACAACAGGCTCTTGGGAGATATCCCATTCGGTCTCCATTGCCGGAGTTCAGATGCTGCCTTGCCTTAACATCCAATCTCCTCCCACCATATATGGCCCTGGAGAATCGGACCTCAGTTGAACTCTGTCCTCTTCTCGAGCTAAAACAGCGTCGTCCTCTGGCGGCTGATCAGCATCTGGGACGATTTCTGTATCGTCGGCGCCTCCACATTCGGGGAAATTTGAACATGGAGTAAGCCGGTGACTTAAGCAATTAGGCCGTTGGCATTGAGCTGGAAAATCCACCATGTCATCTGGGACGGCCGACGTTCTACGAGTTCCCCTAGTGGTCTCCCCGGGTGCGCACTCGCCCAAGCCAAGACCCTACCCTTCGACAACCTACTCCGGAGTTGTAGTCGGCTATTGTTTTAGACCCCGGATTCACTGTACGAAGGGTCGCGGAAGGTCCGGACGCGCTTGCTTCTAAGCATGTATGTTGGCTTTCTCGGACTTTTCGGACTCGCTAGGTGGACAAGCGGTTGAATGGCAAATATGGACTAGCTTGGAGCGACGACGAAAGAACTTCGGCGCCTGAAACCGAAGAGCAGAATGAAGAACAATCACACATGCCATCATGATAGCTGCCTGGTGG